TTAACGTATATATCCGTACTTAAAAACAATACATGAAGAACTTCTATAGTAAGTCTAGCAGAAGGTTTCTTGAGAAGTTTAGAAGCCACTTCGTTGAAAAACAAAAATTTTGCTTCGGCTTCTGATTTATCAGAGACACGTAAAACCAAGTAGTATCTACATCATAAAACATAAATAAGTATGGAAATGAGATTTCTAATATAAAAAGTTAAATATTATGAAAATCACTAAAGAAAAAAAAATATATTACTTTGTAATAACATCTTCAACGTCACCATAGAGATTTTGCATCCAGATCATTAGAGTCTTCCCCATATTCTTAAACCTTGTTGTTACATTTGCAAGAGAAATAATACCAGTTCTTTGCAACATCGATAGATTTAATTGTGGCATATTTAACACATATTCCGACCTGATAAAAGTGATTTTTATATTAATAAATAATAGTTTTTATAAAATGTGTAGAATATATAAAAAATCAAACGGAAACTCTTCGTACCTCATTGGATTTAGTTATTCCTTTTAAGGATTATTGAACCAATAAAATGGAGATATACAATATGAATTATGAATCTCGCATAGAGTCATGGATATCTCCTTTTCTTTTTGAGAGACTCTTGCTAAGTTTCTTATTTTCTCTTTTCCTTTCTCAATTTTTTTTTGTTATTTTAGTATGACTATTTTAATAAGATACCTCATTGGAAATGTTATTAACCTATGATTCTTGATTTTGAAGGATTTAGTTTAATATGTTATATTATGCCAAATTGGCTAATGACTAAGTTAGTTTCTGTGCTAATGAAAATGCTACGCTTTAAACACTCGGCCATATCTCCTATATTATGACTGGATTTAATTGTAACGGACTTTATCAATTTACTAAAAATTAAATGTTATAACCGGCTTTATATCATATAGTAGAAAGCAAATAAAATAATCAAACAAATAAATTTTTCAATTATTGTGAACAATTCAAAATATATATTACAGTATGACTACATAAAGTATGAAAATTTGATTTAGCGTCAAGTTAGATGAATCAAACCGGTGTCATATAGCTTGCACCAAATATATATCTACAGTTGAAAAATGTAAGAACATAACGTTTAGATAAAATTTGATAATATTTTGATTTACAGTAATTTTTCTTAGGGTAATTTTTGCAATTATATTAAATGTATGTTTGCAATTCAATTAACACATATTTTGTTTACTTTTTTTTTTATCTGAAATCAAAATTATTATTTATTTTTGCAATTGTATTAAACATAAATCAAAAACATAACGTTAGTTGGGAGAGTAGATAAGTAATTTGATAATACAAATGATATTTTCTAGAGGAATACCCTAGAATATCACACTTTGAAGTTTTATTTCCATAAATACCACCATTTTAAATATACCACCATTTATTAAATATTCTACAAATATCACAAACACAAAAAAAAAAATTCAAGGATTTATAATTTAAATTTTTGGATTTGGTTAACTACTGTAAAA